ACTCAATTTCTTAATTTAAAAGCAAATATTAAAACACAGATATACATCAATTTTTGTGTGTCGCATGCTATGTTGAATGCAGTACTGGTTAAAATTAGATCTTTGTGAAGTCAAATTACTAAATCTATAGTTTTGTGTGAATTAGAAACTCAAATTACAAATATTGACAAGCTAGAATATAAAATAAAAGTCTCGTATCTTTTCAATTTGCTAAGATATTGCTCGTACTAAATCAAACACAGAGTCAACCCACCCATTTCTTTTCATTTTTGAAAACGCTCTCTTACATACACTTCTATATATGACATGAATAACCAATTAGAAGCTCAGAATGTCCTCCAAGTGGCTTTCTCAGCCATTTTAACAGACTTGGCACCATTTCTTTCCTTTGAACCAATATTTCAAGGAGGTAGATTGTGTCTTTAGTCTGCTTGAAATTTCATATTTTTTAGACTGAAATACAGCTTAGTTAATAAGCTTGATAAATTATAGTGGAATTCAATGGTATTGATATAGTAATTTATGATGTTTTGGTTATTGAAATGTATATATAAAACCTAAAAAAAATATTTTGTTTTATATCCTCCACATGCAAAATTTTTAAAGGCTTAGCAACCTACATAAAGCAGCAACCGAGTACAAAGGTCTTAACTAGAAGAGATAATTGTTTGCTTTACTTCTTTATTTACTGTTCTATGTTTTAAGAAAAATAAGTTTAAGAACTTGTTTCAAAATTGCAATAATCTATATACATATATAATGTATAATAATTGAAATGTGACTGTATTTTACAAAATACTAGTCTGCTAAACACAGCCAAGACAAGTTACTTTGTACAGACCAAAGGTCAGTTTTATGTTATTTGATATGGTAACATGAGTGCATGTGTGCCACATCGTTGTAACTTCTGTATTGTTAGCCAGGCACAGCTGATAGGTCAGCATAATAAAAATAATAAATGTATATAAATGTATAATGTTGAGAGATTAAAGCTATTTAGTTTAAACATTTATGTTTTTATGTTATAATTTGTGTTCATTCTAGAATGAAAGAGGCATAATATATATTTGTTTCCTAATTTATATGGTGGTTGCGAGATCAGTCAAATCTACCAAACCCGTACAGAGATTAATTACTGAAAATAACAGATAGCTAATAAATAGCTGGACATTATAAAGATTTTGAATGTGAAATTTCAAAATTTTCCGATGCATAAAAGTATTTTAATCTTAAAATGAATATTACTTTGCTTGATAGATAATCAACATGCGAATAGAAAAAAAAAAGACACGAGAAAAACATTGTCTTACAAACTTTAAGATTGTCTTTCTATTTTTTCTTCAGGCTTCATCAGATGACAAGTCTTGGAAAAATGCAACCTCTATCTACGATTTTACAGCTAAAGACATTGATGGGAATGAAGTGTCATTAGAGAAATACAGGTGAAGATAGGGAACTTCAAATTACTTTAAACTTAAACCTCTAAGTTTATAAATTGAAGTAGGTTTTATTTTCCAGTAGCCATTTTATGAAAGCTTTTATTATTGTTTTCCAGAGGTCATGTTGTTCTGATTGTAAATGTTGCATCTAAATGAAGAGCAACCAACAAGAACTACAATCAGCTGCAGGCCCTTCACGAGAAATACTCTGAGTCTAAAGGTCTGCGGATTCTTGGGTTTCCTTGCAACCAGTTTGGTGGTCAGGTATGATAACATTACGAGATAAATGTACAGGTTTGCCTGTACATAAGATTGATAAGATAATCAGAAGAAATAAATTGGGAAACTTATTTAAAAAAGAATTGCATCCAAAAGACAAATAAAAGAGAAAGTATTCTGATTTTTATTGTGTGTGTTTGTGTGTTTCTTTAAGACAAATTTAAGTGACAAGGATAAAGCTTTATCCTTTAAAGGTTAAAGATAATGGATGCTGTTGATTTTGAAGGATGATCAGAGTTTGACATACATCATTACACAGCAAAGCATTTAATGCTCATCAAGAAGTATACAGTTTGTCAGTCTTTTCTTTTTATGCTTAATATTCTTAGAATATCAAAAACTGATAAAGTGTGCAATCTCTTTACCATTAACAACTAATCAGGGAGTACGAAATCATGAAGTAGTGACTGTGACACCAAATTGGGAGGCACTTGTTTTTTATTTATCCTTTTATTTTTCATGAGAACTGTTTAGTATTATGTGTGCTCACATAAGTTAATTCCCACTACATAACTTTGCTGTGACAATATTTCAGTCTGTTATGCACACATGTGAGTTTGTCGGTGTTCGTGACTCATTTATTGCAGTTATACTGTTAGTATAAATGTAAATCAAGTGATGGTCATTGTTTACATGTTAAAAAAATTATCTACCTGAGGATATTTGGTTGCATATAACTGATCCCTGCTTGTTGCTCTTGAAATACGTGTGTTTATAGCTTTAAATTTCTGGTAACTGTATTATCAATGTCAGATAATATTATTATACATCATGATTTTTGATTGGCAGTTTACAAAATACATGTACAAGTAACTTGTGTGGATGTAAACTTGGACTCTGTTGCAAAATTTTTTTAGCTATCTAAAAATGTGATCATTCATTGAAAACAAAATGACTTTAATGAATGTAAAGAGCAAAGTTAAAGTAATCTGAATATTTTGATATGAAACTCATATATGTAAAATATGATTAAGTAGTGTAGTATTTAATAATAGGGACCGTGATGAAACAAAATGGTGGCCATAAAGATTGCATGTTTAAAACCACTTTTAAGATATCTGATTATTAACAAAGACTATTTCACAGTATCGGCTGAACAAAACTAAAATGTATTGTACTCATAAATCTACCTAAATTGCTATATATGTTTATGGAGTGAATCAAAATTTCACTGTTTCAACGAACTTTCATCTAAGTAAGTAAGTAAGTGACTTTTCCAGACAATGCATGCTCCATGCTTGGTATTACTGATGCACAAAAATATAGCCAATAAAGAGGAAACAAACAAGCATAATAAAAAAGAAAAAATTAATTTTGTAAAGACATGTAGGGATTGACATACACATAACCTAACTATCAATAGTTATTAGTAATATTGAAAGTTGTAATGCTACAAAATGTATTGAAAAAAGAAAGTCAAATACAGTGATTTGCCAAAGTAGGGATGAATTTAAATAACTTTGTTAGTTTTGACTCTCTTGTTTCAATACTTACCTATTGGTTTCTGTCTGAACTTTTTTGTTTTTCATGAAGGAAGTTATACTTGACAGTAAAGCTTGAATTTCTGTTGTAATTTATTGCTCATTTTCCAAAAGTGTCTAAAATTTCACTTATTTAAATGACCTGCCACTGTATGCTTTAAGCTTTCTTTCTACAAAGAAATTGTCTTTCCAGCCATTTCATGTAGACCTGTATGCATACTTGAAGACTGCAGTATTTGTACTACTTTCCCACTCTTTGTTGCACTTTTTAGAAAATAAATTATATCAGAAAAAAGTTTAAGGCCTAATATAAGTGATTTTTAGGGGTAGAGCCAGTTTGTTCATAGCACATATGCATTAGAAAATTATCATTTGCATCTAAAACAATATATATATATATATATATTATTTTTTTTTTTTTCAGGAACCAGGTAGTGAAGCTGATATTAAAGAATTTATCAAAAAGTTTAATGTCCAGTTCGACATGTTTAGTAAAATTAATGTTAATGGGGAAGATACTCACCCGCTGTGGAAGTACTTGAAAGACAAACAAGGAGGTATTTTGGGCAGGTACAAATATTTATCACATAAGTACTTAAGACAAATTTTATGTTAAAACAAGTTTTAATATAAATGTAGTTTGAAGGCTTTATTGTATTCGTTGTGTTTTCTGTCCTTGTATTTCCACACGAAAGCTGAGATGTGTACTGTTTAATCAACTCGCTAGTTTCAGCATACTTCACTGGGCATTTGATGTATTAGTAGATAACTACTTAGTATCATATAATCTAAAGTGTATTTCAGATCCACTATCGAGAAACACGTCTATATAGATACAAATTTTGATACTTTTGCGTGTCCTTTTCAGTCCGACCCGGCATGGCCAGGTGGTTAGGGCGCTCGACTCGCAATCTGAGGGTTGTGGGTTCGATTCCCCATCCCACCAAATATGCATGCTCTTTCAGCCGTGGTGGCATTATAATGTGGTGGTCAATCCCACTATTTGTTGGTAAAAGAGTAGCCCAAGAGATAGCGGTGGGTGGTGATGACTAGCTTCCTTCCCTCTAGTCTTACGCTGCTAAATTAGGGACGGCTAGCACAAATAGCCCTCGTGTAGCTTTGCGCGAATTTCAAAACAAACAGACAAAACCTTTTCAGCCCAATTTTCGTTTGTGTTAAAATGTGTATCCATATGAATGTGTTTTTTCCTACAAAACTTTATCTTACATTCTGTATATATTTTACGTATCATTTGGGTTTCTTCACACATTTTGTAAATGGTATCTTTTGCATGAAGTTTCAATAGGGTTTGCATATTTTATGTAATCAACTTATCCTACTAATGCTAAGTGCAGTTAATCACATGAAATAGGAAAGGCTGATCATATTTCAATGGAAAGTTGATATTTATATTTTATCAAGGTTTCGTCAGCTGTTTTTAAAGAATTTTTGTTTTATGTGAGATGTTTTACATAAGTCCTAGCTGTATACCAGTACAGAGTAGGGAATGGTACATTTTGACAAACCAGTGGCTAAGTTTAGAAATGCAGACATAGTTTATTTTAAGAATTTCAGTTTAGAAAATTGTCATTGGAAATCAGAAATAATATATGTTCGACATTTACCAAAAAAACAGTTGAATAGATTTTCAATGTCTTAAAACAAAAGTAAAAGAAATTAAAAATATCTGTAGCTTAAGTGTGGAAAGTGTAAACAAATGTGATTCATAGGTAGACTCTTACTATGTAGCAATTAATGTTCATTCAGTTAAGCCTAATTTTTTGTATTTTATTCTATCACAATGGATGTATTGTGTAAAAGAAACGGGAATCATAATGTGTTTTAAACAGTATTATAAATCATATAATACTAAAGTTTTCAGCCAGAAATACTGGACAGTTCACTTATTTCAATAAAATTTATTGCTTATTAATAATCAATATTACCAAAGAGGAGTAGGCCATTTTGAAGTTAGTTGAAAGTGAGTTTTTGCCGTTTCTTTAGTTTCATCAAGTGGAATTTCACTAAGTTTTTAATAGACAAAGAAGGACAACCTGTGAAACGATATGGGCCAAATGTCGACCCATATGTAAGTAATTTTTAGCCTGCTGATTTAATACTAAATTTTTAGTGTTTCCCAACATAAATGCCAACCTTCCTGAGTTGTGAAGGAAATTCCTAACTGAGAAATTAAAAACTAATTTTTCTCCATTGTTACCCATTCAAGCAGTCTTCAACCATTATAACCAATTCATATTAACCATTTAGCCAATGTTCAGGTTAACCATCTCGCTAGAGACAGGTTAAAGGATGCATGTCATGATGTTTTAGAGAGATATATCAAAATTTAGTTTAAAACTTTATTATCATTGTATGTCAATGAAATTGACATCAAAATTTAGTTTATAATTCAAATTTTAATGTTATATATGTTTTAATTTTTAATTTAAAAGAAAATATTTAAAAAATTGAAAAAAAAATGTTTTATTGTGTGTTATATTGCATGTCTTGTCTTATTGCTAAGTTTTTATTTTATCATGCCTACCATATAATGTCCGTAGTAGTTAATGCTATATTTCTCGTGTGTCCGTGTTAGAAATTTGCATACCACTAGCCTTTCGGCAATTCTGACCTAAACACACAAGATTTCTCGTAACTTGTGCTACTGCATAATTATTATGTAGCCAAAGTCCTCAACCAATATCAAGGTGACACAACCTCCTAGTGCACTAACTCCCTCTATGCTTTTGCACTTACGATCATCCTTTATCCATGGCACTGAACATATCAGGTGTATTTTGATTTTCTCAATTTGCAGTAAATTGTAGGATATTGTTTTTTTTTCTTCCGAATACGAACTTTCATGTTCATGTAACTTCAACTTCTAGTGTGAGTGAGAAATATCCACACATTAGTCAAGTCTCATATTTGGCTACTGGAGGCCCATTAAACATGAATGATGTGACAGCCATTGTGCATAGGGTAGTGGATTCCATTATGCAGTCAGAAGTATCTGCACCTGTCCATTCATCTGGTGTTCCTTCCTCTTGTACTGAGAGGGGAGCATGAAGTTGATGATGACTTTGACCATTAATTTCCTTCTCCTGGTTATGTCCTCGCTACCTTTCTTCCTATTGAAGAAAATCTTCAGGTTTCTTCATATTGTCAGGACCTTGTATTTCAGGTATGTTCTATTCTCTCTCTTGTTCTTTTGTCATATGACACATTCTGTTCCCTTCCCCATAACCTTAAACGTAACGAATTTTGCCCCCTCCCCAATCTCATGGCATGCAGTCATTATGACTTCTGCTTAGTTTCATTCTCCAGTGCCCTATTCTCTCGACTTCATCTAATCCTTTTCTCTGTGCTTCGTTATCTTTCCTCTCTATACCTCATATTGGAGGCACTTCACAGAGCACCTGATGACTTTAGGAAATTCCCGTTTCTTTCTCCTTTCTACCATGGCCAGTAGTACTGCTGCTTCTTCCCTTTCCCTGCCTGCTTGGATCATTTGTTATTGGAACTTGTTGGATAGAAATACCCTTCTTTACTGTGTTTATCTTCTTTTTTTTACAAGACCTCTGCCTCACCCCATTTCTTCGGTTTTTGGAATAACCAGGATTCAAATGAATCATGAGTGAAAGTTGCCAGTTATAAACCTTACTTAACTTTTCAATTATCTCAACACCCCTCTTCTGTCTCTTGTCTTAGTCCTCCTATTTCCTTCTCCTTCTGCTCGACCATCTTTCGCCTGATGTCAGATTTGCTGGGCTCATTGGTGACTACTTAGTAGATTCGAATCTGGTGGGACTCGTTTGTCGATGTATGCACGTCTTTGGGAACAAGTCTTTGCAGACAATTGGGGTACTATTGTTCTTACTCATGGACTCTCCTTCCAATTCTCCTCATCCTCTCAGACCACACTCAGCTCACTTTCTCCTTCCTTCACATCCCACCTATCTTCAATGTCTCAAAGATGTTGTATTGGCTCTTTGGAGCAAATAGGCCATAAAGAGAGTGTACAACCCTTCTTTGGGGTTTTATTCCTTTCTCTTCATAGTTTCCAAAAAGACCTGTCTGCTGGCTGGCCATCAGCCTTTCCTCCATGAACTGATTCATGGTCATCTCTCATTTTCATATGGAAAATTTCTTTTTCTTCAGATGAGCCTTTTCACTGGGACTATGGATGAACAAGGTCAATGTTTTGGATGCATTCCTTCATATTTCCATCAAAGAGTCTTGCTGACGTTTCCTTCAACTCATTCATCAGGATCACATTTTCCAATTCTGTGCTTTTTCATACAGAATTGCATCAGCTTACTCCGTTTTCAACAGTGGTTTTGGCCTTTGTTTGCCATCTGCACAGAGTGGGTCTGCGATTCCTCCATAACATGAATGATTAGCTCCTGTTTCACTCGCAAGTGGAATCCTACCTTCACACCTCCATTCTTCTGCAAGAGACTGCCTGTTTAGTTTGGCTTGTTAAGATTTCCAAATCCTTTCTTACCCCCCACCCAATATATCATTCACTTGTGGGTGTTCTTAAACTCCCTTCTCAGCCTGACCCAACTTTATACTATCTGCCTGTAGGTTCTGGAGGTTTCTGTCACTAGGATGCGAGCTTCTCCTATTCATTCTGTATGAGAGTTTCTATCACTTTGGGGACCATGGCTTCCATGGGACTGCTTATTCCTCTTGATGTGCTCATATGCACCTCCTCCAATGGTCCTTGCACAAACAGTGGAACCATTCAAAGGAATATTTGGACTCAATGGTTCTCCTGTCCCCTCCTCTTCTCAAGGACCTTTTGTAGTGGCTGGACTGCTCCAATATCCTCTCAGCATACCTGTTGGACCTCCACCCAAACTCAACTTGCACCTTTTCACCAATGTTTTCCCCTTGGGATGGGGAGCATATCTGAACAACTTCCTTACACTAGGCACTTGCACACTGTACAAATCTTCCCTCCACTTCAATGTGCTCTCAATCTTTTGGCAGTATGCTGAACATGTTTCTATTTCCTACCCCTCTTGGTAAATCATTTAGTTATGATTCACTCCACAACTTGATAGTTGTTTCTTACATCCAGTATCCTTTGTTTTCAAACCCTTGACCTTCTTTATTTGGCCCATGCTTGACGGGTTAGCCTCAATGTCTGTCATGTTCCAGGCACTATGAACCTAGTTGCAGACCAGATCTCTTGGCTGGACAGTGTCCTATCTACAAAATGGTCTCTTCACCCACGGGTTTTTCCCCTGGGTGTGTTCTCTCATGGGAACTCCCCTCATCAACTTCTAGATTCCTCTCTTTTGGTCTTCCATCGTCGGAATAAAGTTACTTGCTTCCTGGTCATGAGGTGAAGTCAGTTGAGACCCTCCTTGTACAATGGACAAGAAGACACATACCCAATGTTGCCTGGTTATATAATCTTTGGCATGTAATTCTGTGAGCTCCTCCTGCAGCTGGTGTTGATCCAAGAAGTCTGATGGTAGAGTTGAGGTGATTTCTAGAAACAGTCTGAACGTTCTCCTACCACACTACACACATTCCTGCTTCAACATAAAAAAACAGTATTTGATAGTTTTCAGTAACATTATGTAGAATTGTATCAAGAGGTTAGTTTAAAATGATGCTATAATGATTATACACATCTTAATATGAACATGTGTTTGTCTACTTAACATATTTTTTGTAACAAAAATTAGTGTTTCTAAATATGTGTTAATTTCTGTTGTTTTGAATAAGAAAAGTTAGAAATATAACTTCTGTCTCATGTTATTTTTCTTTGCAGGGTATCGAGAGTGATCTTCAGAAGTACTTCTAGTTGAAGAACTACCAAATACTGTAACAATTATAGGTTCTTGCAATCCAGCTGATAAAGAGCTTTTATGAAAGTCTACCCAGAAACCACTAAGTGGGTGGGTAAGACTGGAAAGCTAGCTCTTCTGATGTTGCGACAAGACTTCACTGTTGTTTACAGTTTTTGTAGAAACTTCTACCTTACAATATAGCTTTTTCTTTCATACCAGTGTTTAATTTCAATGTTACGGGTCACATAGGTAGCTCAAATATATTGATAAAAATCTAAAACAGTTCATTCTATGATGTACAAGTGCTTGGCCAGTTTATATAATTTACACTATTAATTATTCAGTAATTTTTGTTGCACAAAATTTGTATATTTACCTAGAAACAAACATCAGAATTATTTAGTTTATATAGGAGTTAAGATTGATTTCAATAAAGTTTTGTTCTAAGCCAGTGAAGTTTTCTTGTTTTTCTTGGAGTCACATAATGTGAAGTACAAGGGGGAAATTTAAAATATTACAAGTAGAAGTTTAGAAAAATTCTAAATGATTAAATGTTCTTGCATTTTCAACCTAAAATGTGTAAACAAATAATTTCCTAAAATTAAATTGTTTGAGCTTTATAAATAGTTTACGTTGTATTTAAATATGTCGTGATTGAGATTGTCACTTAACATTTTATACTGTGATATATATTCAGTTTAAGTTTCAGTGTATTAATGGTTGGAGACGGCTTGAATGGGTAACGAAGAAAAACTTTAATACAAGTTTAACATAACAGCAAATGTACAACGTTTCGACAAGGTTTTGTACCTGATGATGACAAAACCCTGTCGAAACGTTGTACATTTGCTGTTATGTTAAAGTTTTTTTTCATTACCCATTCAAGTCGTCTCCAACCATTATTAGTCTCAAAGTGGGTTCCTCGTCATCGAATTTCAGTGTATTGTCACTTTCCACTTTATGATGCGTCTAGATAGGCAATGTTTTATACATATGCTTAGAAGGACATCTCATTGCTCATGTTTAAGACATCACTCTTACTTTAATAATGCTTCTATCTTTCATTTGTAGTTTTGCTTGGACGTTATTTTCAGTTATGTATTTTTAAAGTGTTCTTATTTCAATTCATTTGTTTCACTTTACGCAAACGTGATTATTCCTGAATCAACTTTAGTGCGATTATTTTGTTTTCCAGCTGCCTTTCATAGTGTTCCTTTGACTTTCCCTCAGTCACAGAGTTTATAATAGTAAATTTTATTGGTCAACATCAGCACTGCAGTGAGCTAGATCTTTATTTATTACGGGCTAGCCACCTTTGCAAACTTAATTTTAGTTCCTTCTGAATCATAAAAGTCTTTGTTGGTTCTTTTCTTATTTTACTGATTTTAGATTTTCTTATTCTGGCGTTTTTTTTTTTTCAGTTGCTTGTAAAAATATTGTATTATGTTTTACTTATTTGCTTTCTACTGTTTAATCTTTTGTTTTTAGTAGGAGGAGTAAAGTTTATCTCATTTTCTTCATCATGATTATAAATTTCTATACATCCTTTGTTTTCCCCTACAAAGTAGTTCCTCATTTTACTAAATCATGATAGTAATTTCTATACATCCTTTGTTTTCCCTTACAAAGTAGTTCCTCATTTTACTAAATCATGATTATAAATTTCTATACATCCTTTGTTTTCCCTTACAAAGTAGTTCCTCATTTTACTAAATCATGATTATAAATTTCTATACATCCTTTGTTTTCCCTTACAAAGTAGTTCCTCATTTTACTAAATCATGATAGTAATTTTTGTCCTTGTTCTTGACACTGTTTTGGATTTTTGCCTACTCGATCATGTTAGTTTACCTTTAATTTGGAGATTTTTATTTATTTTTCATCTTTTTCTCTTTGGAATTCCTCCCTAATCAAACTGAAACATACTTATTCTATCATAATATTCACTCTCTTATCTTGTCTTGTCCAATTCTTTGGGAATGGTTTATGAAGTTTAGTTAACATAACTTGCTCAAGTCTAATTTCCTTTATTGCTGCAATACTTTTTACTTGTTTTATTTTTACAGGTGACTCTTTTTCTTATTTGTGGATAGTGTATTGTTTCTTACTATTTCAGGTCATTTATTTGTTTGTACTCTGAGACTTCTCCATTAGAGTTGTTGTTTTTTCCACTGTCATTTATGCATGTTTTGTCATCATTTGCCCTCCTTATTCAAGGATGTTTCTAGACTTGATTGTTGTACTATCATTCCTGTGAACCTTTGGTTTATTTCTCTTCATTGGAACTTTCTATAAAAATTAGTTTTCTGTTTGTTTTGTTTTTGACTTGTTGTCCTTCTGACATTTATTTAACTCTTTGAGACCCATGAGCATCAATTTGATGCAATGTTGTATGATTTGTTAAATTGTATTGCAAAAAAAAAAACACAACTGGATGAAATAGTTTGAAACTTCACAATTATTTTCTGTTGATTATGCAGCTTGAGCAGATAAAATATTTTTGTATGTGATATTTGTATGAATTTGCAGTTTTGAGATTTCAAACATTTCATCATAATAGTAAAACAAAAAGTTGAAAAGCTTATCTTTGTTTGAAATTTTAGTTACCGGTTTTTACGTCTTCCTACATTTTTACAAAACTTTCATATAAAATACTTTTTATTATTCTGTAAATTTTGTCTGTCAGCTTTCTTTCAAAATCGTTAATCAGAAGGTTTTATTTAACGTATGTAATAAGCACACTGAAGTGTTCGAGTGTATGAAGCTGGGCCCCAAACACTTCAAAAGCTAACAATAC